CTGGAGACAATGTATCTAACATTAATGTGTATTCTTCTTCAGGTATACCGATTATCACCTTCAACGCATATCCAAGATGTTGCTGAATTATTTTCATGAAATGCGATATTTATAACAAAAATTTTATCACTAAAAAACCATTAAATTCAACTAATTGACCTTTGAGAATTGTATATTAACGCAACTTACGTTAGTTTCACTGTAGACTGGATAGAGAGGAATACGATGCAGATTGCTTGCCCAACATAAATAAACAAAGGTTAAGATTAATAGTTTTATTAATAAATACTGAAGCATTATTTCCGAATCACTGAAAAACTATCAAGAATCAAATAATATAAAATATATAAAACATAAAGTTAGTTCCAATTTTATAAAGGTATATTTTTACAACAGTTTAATAAGTTTTTAAATGAAAATAGCAATTTCGATTCAAAATGAATATTAGCATCGAAGAATACACAAATTACGAAAGTTTTGGCTAACAGCAAATATTCAACATTTTGTATGCTTATATTTTTATTCATTACTTTTCCTTTTCAAGCGTGAAAAGCATAAATCTAAGTAAATATGCATAACAGAAGAATTGCTTAGAGTAAACTTACTCTTGTCATCAAGCTTGCAAAGTTTGCTTTAAAATCGAACATAACACATTCACTGTAAACTATCAAACATTACAAAAAGGGAATAAATGTAAAAGTTAGTTTTTATAAAAACTAGAGTTAATTTCTTTAATTAATTTCAAATTTATGAAATTCTACAATTTATGAAATTATTGTAATTATGCATCCGAAGGAAAGTTGTAGGTCTCAAAGAGTTGGAATCAATAAGACAAAAATTTAAGCAGTCAGTATAACTGTGATCTGGACGGGAGATTTATTTTCATTCCGTCGAAGGAAAAAGAAGCAATACTCATGAGAGATATTCAGCGTACGTGTAGAAGTAAGTAGGGATAGACTGAAATGGCATGTAGTGTCGATATCAAAATAAACCATTAGAAAGATAATAACAAAAAATGAAGGAAAATATTGAATAAATTTATAAAGGTCCCTGTAATAATGATGTGTACATCATTTGCGAATAATATTAACAACTGCAGAAACAAATGTAAAAAAGAACACAATCTGTAGAGCTGTGCTTTCCCTACAGATTACTGTTTCTGAAAAATGCTACTAGTATGGTATACTTGATAAATAACTAGCCTGACTTGAAAGAAAAACTTTTGAGTTAAATATTTACTGTTTTCTGGTCATGAATTATAATGCTGAAGTTTGAATTTTAAGCTGTTCTACCACAAAATATTTTTTTTATATGAATTAGATGTAGTCGGCCAGAATTTACAATCGTCAATTTCTTTGAGGATTTGATGAAATTCAGTGCACGCATTATAAGTTCCCTATTTTTCTATACTATCAGTAATTTGAATATGGGCAATGTTGTAATACGTGGCATAAGTAAGTAGCTCATTGATTACGAAAAATTAAATGACAATAAATGTATCCTTTTCAAAATGGCATATTTGTAAGACTGCAGCAGCATATACGGTGAGATGTTTTCAAATCTTTTTCAATAGTAATATTATAATATTAAAGATGCTGCGTATAATGAAGGAGGCACGTGCTCAACATAAAAACACTCTACGCAGTTAATATAACTTTATGTGGATAGATAATGTTATCAGTGCAGTAAATTGAAGTGACAGCTAAAACATTAAATGAATATTCACTGTCATTCATTTGCCATTTTATAGGATATCTACGAAAATTGAATTTTGATCGGAAAATGCCCAAAAGACCAAAGATTCAGTAGATTATGCAAATAAAGTGACAAATAAAACGTTACAATTCTCAAATTGAAATATTATGTAAGCAGTCAAACACACTTTTATTTCACGTATTGCTAGACCAAACGTTAATTGATCATTTTTGATCCTTTTCTACCAAAAAAACGTTATTCAATTCCGAATTTTCATTCCATGTACATCATATAATGTTGCAACATGTCACAAGAAATCTAAATATTCTTTTCAATTTTGTTGAAGCAAATAATATCAGAATATCATACATAACCAAATTCTCAAACAGTAAAAATAGTTGCAGAAAGTATTAAAGATATTAAAAGTAAATATATTTGAAGTACAATACTAGTGATGATATCAGAAGTACAAAATTCATAGAAGTAGAATCAATTTTTATAAAATTAAAGAATAGCGTTCCGCCTGTAGCAGATAAAAAATACCGTTACAGTTGACAATAAATTATGATTATTAAGTTACTAATAATGTAGTATCGCGAGACATTGTGTTCATACACAACAGTTTAAAGTCGTATTTCAATTCTAAAATTATGTTTAGAACTGAAATACAGAAATTGAAAGTGCTAACATGCGGAAGGGTTTCAGTTTAAATACAAGAAAATCTGGTACTTCCCAGCACAGAATGCTTTTATTTTCTGCTTATCGCAAGTTCATGATCGGTCACTTCATGAGTAGAATTAGATTTCGAATTCTTTATAAGACTTTAGCTTTATTTACTCCCGAAGTCTTGCAATAATGTTATTAGAAATGATCCCAATCCAATTTCAGCCTTAATAATAATTCAAGAACAAACACAAATTGTTTAACGTGGTATGCTCAATAATAACTCACAATTATTTGACGTGTTTTAACAAAAATTGGAAACAGATGGAGCCTAAAATCACTCCAAATCAAAATTTCTTTTGCCAGAAGATTGTTTCGGAGAAATTTAGAGTATCGGTGAGATAAGGTAAAAGTTGTCTGCGAATAATGTTATATTTTGCTTTCAGACACAGCAAAATATGTATCGTCACATCTTCACAGTTGCTTTCGCCTCTTGCCTGTTACTTATACTGAAATTCGCAGAGTCCACAGTAAGTATATACTTCATCAAGTTCTAAATTATGATCTGCTTTAAATTTGGGAAAATACTCATTTTAATTCATTATTGCAGAGAGATAAATTGAATCAAGCAGAATTGCCGAACGCACTCAGAACCGAAAATCGCATACAACATGATCAATACACTAAATCATCGGATACCGGTAAGAACAAGTTGAGGAAAAATGGAAGTTCAATAAGTATGGACAATATTCAGGCAAGCAGCGTCAGTTCAAAATTTGAATATAATGTTTCCCAGAAGAAACCAAGTATGTTGAATTCCAAATGCAAAGTGAAGGCACATCCCGGAGAGAAGCAGTTCCAGTGTGAAACATGCTTGAAGAATTTCGCAACCAAGACTATTTTAATCCAGCACTTCCGTACACATACCGGTGAAAAGCCGTACATGTGCGATGTGTGCACGGAAAGATTCCCGTTTTTTAGTCATTTATACACACACAGGCGCATACACACCGGTGAGAAGCCATTCATATGCAATGTATGCGAGAAAGGATTTGGATGTTCTAGCTATTTAAACGCTCACAAGCGCATACATACCGGTGAGAAGCCATTCATATGCAATGTATGCGAGAAAGGATTCGGATGTTCTAGCTATTTAAACGCTCACAAGCGCATACATACCGGTGAGAAGCCATTCATATGCAATGTATGCGAAAAAGGATTTGGAAGTTCTAGTAATTTATACACACACAAGCGCATACATACCGGTGAGAAGCCGTACATGTGCGATGTGTGCAAGAAAGGATTTAGGTTTTCTAGTCATTTAAGTCGACACAAACGTACGCATACCGGTGAAAAACCGTACATGTGCAATACTTGTAAGAAAAGTTTCACACAAAACGCACATTTGAATAGACACAAACGTACACATATAAAATAGAAAACATACGAATGTTGCATAGTTAAGAGTGCTTTAGGCTTCTGAAAATCTTACCAACGCAGGCACTGCAAATCCAAACCATATCATAATGCTTATTGGATCAATTTGCAGTTTGCGCAGCCTTTTAATCATTAGAAAAGGAATGCATCTCCAAACGTTTTGTTACTGCGAATATTGTTTAAATTTGATGTAGTTGTACGCATTTTGCGCATCTTTTTGCTAATAATCTGTTTCTTGCAAATCCTTTATGCTGTGTACATCGAAATAGATGGGATTCACTTTTCATCTGAGAATTAGAATAACTCGAACAAAAAGTTATTCTTCGCAGTTTTTTGTAAAATTTGTTTGAAAAAGTGTTTTAAAAATGTGCCAGTTTTCCATTCAAAACAGGTTTTAATATTTAAGATAACGTTAGCACTTCTGACTTCTGAATTTGGTTGCATGCATTGATACACAGCTTCTGATCTGTTCTACATGTGTATTAATATATGATCCCCATAATATTTTGACAATGCTAAAAACTTGTCTTACAGATTTTAAAACATTGTAAACTAGTCAGCGGTTCCATCTGCTACATATTTTTTAATTTTGATCTTGCGATGTGTTTTATAATTACTCTGAGATCTTTATTTAATCTACTTGCTGCAAAGCTAATTCATTATTAATGACTTTGAAGAAAGAGATTTGGATTAAGAGATATTTTTTTATCTCTCAAGTTATTCAGCAACTTTTTTTACTTTTTTTCATTTTTTGACAAAAAACTTAGTAAAATTTTTACTCAAGTTTTTTTTCAAAATCCTTTAAAATTTTTATATTATTCTCATGATGCGAAAAAATTGAAGCTAATGTAATTAGTAATTAATTCAATTTCAGATTTACAATTAAAATGCATAATAAATATTGTCAATCAAATAAAATTGTTATTATTAGCGACAAAAGCGATATTTATTTTGATGTATACAAGTGATTATTTTTGACCAACTTTGCTACAACTAATACAATAATTTTCTATTTTCCAACGGACTTTTTTGATTTGCATAGATCTGCAAAAAGTAAAAGAAATAAATAATAACTATAATCGCTAATTGTATTTTCGAAAATTGGAGATTTACAATGAAGAACATATTTGCTCATTCTTTTAACATGGCTAGTTGCACGAAGAACTGAACAGTTCTTCATCGTAGAACAAAAAATGATAAATAATCTCTCTCACATATCTAACAAAAAACGATAAAATATCTATTTCCATCACGGTGGATATTTTCAAAAACTGCCATTTTTTATTTTCACACAAAAACCTAATCCATCATTTAACTTTTTTCACTGACATCATGTTGCACAATTAGTAACATAAGTATCTCTTGTCCAGTTCAATCGCCGGTGATTAGTTCTTCACAAATTCATACTTTCCCTTAGACGTCTGAAACAACGGAAAAAGTAATCTACATATAAAAAATCTAAGAGCACCAGACTTTATACTACAGCCTATTCCATCCTAGCTGGCCTTACAATAATCCTCTCAATAATGACTATTTAATATAGACAGCTTTCCGTTCTTGACGCACAATAAATCATTGCTGGGCGTTGATGCACAGAAAAGGGATCTATCTTTTTTGCTTTCGAAAAAGCTTAGGGAAAACAGTGAACAACCCGACGTGAGTGATTTATTGCTATAGGCAGCTCTCCATCTGCTAGAGAAATTCCTACAATGAATCTTGTTGGCACAAAAATGAAAAGCATGCAAATCGAGCCGTTTTAAAATTTCTATACCCTTAATGGTGTTCTGACGGAAAACAACATCGACCTTGATACAAACGTCCTTGCAGTCGTTAAATTCATCTTTTGCTTTTACCTCCGGTTTTATTTTTCGATTTTCCTTTAATTCATATAGATTCTTCCGAAAAATAATTTAATCAAGTACTGTCTTGGCATCGGAATGAAATCCACCCAAATCAATATTAACCTTTTTACCCAATTTTTGTACCTGAAAGTAAAATTGATACTCCTGGGCAGGAATGAATAATAACTTTGCACTCTTTTTGAAGTTCACAATCAAGCATTAAGCATAAATTTCTTGCTTCTTCCACACTCACACATCCATGGATTAGTGGGACGGAAACTTAACACACCTTCATATCCGTAGCGATTGTGGTCATCTGCTCACCGAACCGTAAGTCAGAAGCGTTACAAACACAACCATCCCCTGCCATCGCCAGGATGGCGCCACCATTATAGCTCATTAATCGTCATTATAAACAATTGAACTACACACTAACCCATAAAAAGAATTTTCTGAAAATAAAAATGCTCTTCAATGGTGTATAACTTGAGCTTCCGTAACTAAAAATCACCTTACTCTGCACAATATCTCTTAAAATCACGATAGAGTTATCTGATGTAACTGCCGTTCGCGTGAACTAAGCATAATAACAGCAGAACTGTAGTTATGACTAGCTGTAAACAATCGCACTCATTCCTGCTAAATAATGCTTGGGAATCCAAACTATATCTCACACATAAAGTATTTTCAGTTATAACTTCAGTGAAAAATGTCTTATAAGTAACTGAACATTAAAAAATCCATTCTTTAGCGGTTTATTGAACAAACTAACGAAATTAATCATAATCACTGAGTACAGAAAATGTGTAATCATATGCTCAAATACAAATCAGAACTTTTCACACTTATTTCATAATGACACTCCACACTTCTGAAATCAAAGTATGATTCACAGCAGTTGTGAATGGACTGAGCACTTAATGCACGAAATTATACATGACATAAATGTTACAAGTTTTCATAATGACACTCCACACTTCTGAAATCAAAGTATGATTCACAGCAGTTGTGAATGGACTGAGCACTTAATGCACGAAATTATACATGACATAAATGTTACAAGTCATTTAAAAGATATGAATATACCCTTCGTAATTGAGTAAAACATTATTACTGCGAATTCCAACTTAATTAAGGTTTGAACAAAAAATATAGAGAGAGATAGAGCCGTCTGATAGCTTTTAAGTTTCGATTCATAACTTATATATTGATGCAAAGATTTGTTACCCTTACCAGAGAAATTTTCTAGAAGGAATTGAGGAATGTCGATCCTTTAAATGACTTTGAGCACCAGAAATCAAATAAATGAAATAAAACCAAATGCAATTGGTTTCTAACAGAAAGTCTTCGGTACTTGGAAGGAGCGAGTCAACCAGCATAAAAACTCTGAAGGAGTCGCTCTTCTACGTTCCAAAGCCTTATGCATGTCCGTTTCACAATCTCCTACACTTCGTGATCGTTCAAGACGATGTCCTGAACATGCTGAAATGTAAATTTTTAAAATTAGTAAAAAATATTTGAGTTTGATGAGTTCTCATGGATAATATTTTGACACTAAGTACTTAGCATGCAATCAACTCTTAACATTATCACTATCATGAAAAATGGTAGATCAGAAGAAAAATCAGAAATAAATTTTACATGAGGGACTGCTAGCAAATTCTTCTTTAAGATCTCGGTATGTAAAAAGCTGTTCAGGTGCTGCGTTATAGAAGATTTTTCGAAAGCCTGCCACGCTTCTTCACGGCAGGCCGACTTTAACCTGATAAGAATATTTCCCCTCATGCCTCTAATTGTAAAGTGTGGATACCACCGCTGAAAAGAATCCTTTTGAGCGTTCAAAGTGAGAGCTTCATCACTCTCATGAAGATGTATAAGACGAATGTTGGAAAACTCCACCATTTTGTGTTAAAATTTCTTTTTTTAATCCAAAATATTCGCTTCGATCGGTAGTAGAATTCCTTTCATGAAGGCGAAAACAAAAGATGATCGCAACAATGTAACCTCACGTTGCGATCTATCTATTGCTTTGGTCGCTACAGCCAGCGACCAAGCCCTTTACGTATATTATAAGCAGCGTGCTTATCATCACAAGTACAAGCCTGAAAAAAACGTGAGATGAGAGGAAGAATTACTTGCAATACGGCAAGGAGAGATAAACGAAGGAAAGTAAGGAAACAGAAGCATTTCAAACGCTACGACTTTACTATTGAATAGAAAAAGCACGTAGTGATACTAAGCTATGAAACAATTCAGAGAGTACAATGCTAGCGACCTTCCCGTCGAAAGAGTGACTGACTGACTGACTAACTGCGAGTGCAAGTGCGCGTTTGTTTAAATGACGTTTCTTTGGTTGAAATTCGATTGGTTCAATGAGATAGTACATGTGAAGCAGAGAATAAGATAATGAGAGGGAGGATAGGTCTCCGCCTGGTGAGATGCAAATTAAATTGATGTTTTTGTGTTCATTGCGATTATTTCGTAATTTCTATCCCAATCATTGCGTGGTTTGTAACTTAATTATCAACGTGAAAATTTAATTTTCGAGTGGTTGCGCAAATTTGTTCCTATATACGCAAATGTCCTGACGAAATTGCTAAAATCACTAGTTAGCCTCATTTTTCTGATTACTTTAGTATGTGAAAATATTATCTACGGTGCTTGCTATCATCACATAAACGTAAATAATTTAATGTCATCTGAAGTCAGAGAAGAATTTTATTTTGAAAGGTGTAACCAAAAGTAATAGACAGTAGTGAATGACTTTAAAAGGCGATATTTGACCAAAAATACTCTCGGACTTCTCTCCAATTAACATTTGCATTGTATATCGTAAGAATTTGAAATTAATAAACTGCTATATTTTCGGTGATTGCAATGTAGCTATTTTTAAATGCCAGTATTTTATTCCCAATTTTCCAGACAGATTCATCATTTTATTAATTTGGTTACGCATCATTTTAATCCTTCAACA